GTCCTTTAGCTGAGCTCACCCTCCAGTGACGCTATACTGGCAGGCTGGGACGCTGATTCAGATGCTGTCTTCCCTCTTGAGGACTTCCTGGGTAAGTCCTTAAAACTTTCTCTTCAGTTTGCAAAGGATCCCACCTTCGTCGCCAGTGTTAAGTACTTCATTCGTGTGTGAATGATGAATACACATGGCAAAGTTAAACAGCTCTTTATTCTCCTTACAACAACACCCGAACGAATGGCAAAAGGCACACAGGCCTCTTTATGTGTCCAGAGACCCGGACAATGGCAAACAAAGTAACAGAGCGTTTTCGCGCCTTGCGCATGTGCGCAAGGCCGACGCCACTCAGTCTGGTCCCAGGCAGCTTTTGGAATGCCCGGGATCATTGCAACATCTCGAGTCTGCTTTTGCAGGCTCATGACACAACACCTAGATTAATGCTCTTGTTAACATTCTGATAGTTTTAACTTTCATCCTCCACATGTGTAGCAATCAATTAAGTAACCTAATTAATACAAATAAACACAAATAAAATAACATAAAGCTTTGTGTGATAAAAGATTTTTAGGCAGATATTAAATCCAGATGGGATTAATTCTGCAGAATTCTTTATTGACATCTTACTTAATTCCAATATGATGGAAGTTAGCCCCCCCAGAAAGAAATATTAAAAAGGGCAGAAAAATATATTTTTCCTCAAAAGGACTTTTTAAAACCAAACCTGGCCCCAAATCTATCTCTCTGCCCCAAGCAAGACTTTAGCCCTATACAAATGCAGATGTAAAACCATCAGAAAGTTGAAGCCAGAGCAATCAAGAAGACAAAAGAGAAGATCTGCATACCCCACCCAAACTCTAGGAGTCAGCCCCATCACCTGGAAAGCAGGATATGATAATAGAATTAAACCACAGATATCAAGGCCTAGACAAACACTCAGAAACAGCCTCAAGGTTCATGCCACAGGAACAGGAAACTATTCCAAACAAGGCTAGAGGGTATAAAAGCCTACTGCCCCATGTGCTCACTCCTTCTCTCTCCTCTGCACTTTCCTGAAGAACCATCTTTCTGCAATAAACTGTAAACTTCTTCCCAAAGCAGTCGCCATGTTTGCTTATTTATTCCCGGCTTGGATGAACCAGGATGAAGACTTTACTTCTAACAATTTGGCACCCTGAGATGGGACTCCAAGCTAACCTCTCCAATGGACTGAGACTGGTAAGCCCCATCTTGCCGGCAGCAGACCCTCTTGTGTCTGTGGATGGGTTTCCCAGGCCTTGCCCATGTGGAGCTAGGGTAGTAAAGGGAGTTTTGAGAGTTTGAGCTCAAGGGCTGCTTTGGGAAGAAGATGAAGGTGAGTACCTCTAAATTTTAAGTTTAAAGCCCAGGGGAACAAAGAAAATGGGTGTATTTCTGTTTGGGTGAGTGAGAAGACTTTTTTTTCCCAATCACAGTTGGATTTTGCTGCTTCTGGTCTTTCCTAGCCACAGAAAGGATCTGTTTAATTGGCAGAACCTGGAAAGCATGGGGGTTGGCCAGAGCACAGAACCTTTTATTAGGGAAAAGGGAGAGACTGTGTGAAAATGAAATGGAATGAGTGAATGAAAGAATTGGATTTGGGCATCTAGCTGGTAAGGCCCTGTAAGCAAAGCAAAGTTAGGAAATTAAGCCTCAAGAAGGGAGCGGCCACTTACCTCCGAGAGCAAGTGGAGGTGCCCACGGACATTGGAGGCGTCCGTAAACAGTGGTGTGAAGCCGGCCGGTCGAAGAGTAGCCTGTACCTTCTAACGAGGAAACCAGAAGTGTCTCTGCAGACTCCTTTTTGGTCTGAAAACGTGGCAGGATCCCTCAGAGGAGCTGTCCCACGAACTCTGTGAGGGATCCAGAGTGCTCCGTGAGTCCCATTTTTACCGGACTCACAAAGAATCGTGGTGGAAGAAAGAAGTCTCAAAAGGAGGCTTTGACTGTGTAGTGCCCTTTAGCGTCAAGGGAAAATCCCGTCATATAAGAATGGGAGATTCCAATTCAAGGGCTGAGGTAGATTTCCCAGTTGAAAGCTTGCTTGTAGCCTGGGACAGGAATCAGCTTCCTGTCCAGGCCGGAATGGAAAAGAGGTAGGTAAAGAAACTATATGAAAAAAAAAAAATAGACTTTGCTTAGGGCCTTGCTGGGAAACCAATTTGGCTAAATAAAGGTACTTAAAAGGGAAAATAAGAAATAGTGACTCTCTCTCTCTCTCTCTCTCTCTCTCTCTCTCTCTCTCTCTCTCTCCTCTATGCAACCACGTGGTATGTTTAAAATATGTGCCTTCCCTAACTTGAGTTATCTGAAATTTATGGTGGGAATGACTAGGATGTGTAAAACTAAGACTTCTGTTCTCTTGTCTTTGCGTATATATGTTTGTCAAAGTCTGCGTGAGAGGTAAATGTGACTATTAACTGTTTCAAATCCAAAGGAAAAAGAATTTTAAATTCTGCTAGAAATTCTGCTTAAAATAAGCCACAAAAAGGAAATACCTCACTCTGTTTGTCTGGCCAACAAACAGAGTGAAGAAAAAAAATGTGTTTGTTTGTTTGTTTTCCTCTTTCTCTCTGTGTACTCTCAAGAACAGCCTTAAGTTACCAGGAGGGATTGCTTTAAGTTTATCTGTTGGAAACGTTTCACTTGCATTTACTGTATGTGTTTTATCTACCTTTTTCCTGAAAAATGTGTGTCTATCTACAAGAGCCTTTTGAAGCTCAAGTCTGCTTGTGTGGGGAAATAATTTTTTTTACTTTTCGTATCCTATCACTTATTGGTGATGCTACTATGAAACTTTTCTTATCCCAAATATATAAGCATTTCTCAATCTCTAAAATGATGTGGTCTATTTTAGAATAAATGTTCTCCTACCCTTGGCAAGTTGCACATATTAAAATGTTAGGCTTTTAAAATTATTTGGAGTTTTCAGCATTCTCAAGCTGCCTAGCATTTTTTTTCTCCACTTCCTTTCAAGTTGCAAGTTCTTGCCCATAATATGTTGCAAATGGTCAAGTTCAAAGGTGAAACATTTCATTTTGTTGTTCCCCATTTGTCTATGTTTAATAACTGCAGTATTAGTGCCCTTTTCAAACTGCCTGCAAGCTACCCTCCCTTCCAATTCTTTTCCTGTCCTTTGTTCTCCATACCATTTGTCTGCCTCTCCTGGCAGAGTCCACCCAGAAAGGGGGGGAGGGGAGACCTTGTTCTTGTATCTTTCAGCCCTGAAACCCTCTCCCAAGCCTTTGGAAGCAGAACACACAGATCCAGATGCTGCCTCCATCCATTTGAGCCATGGAATTGAGTTTTGAATCCAGCCATCCACTAAAAAGCCACCAAACAATCTGAGTGGAATATCTTCCCAAGTCCTACCATTTACCCAGATGCCTGTGAGAGCTGCAGAAGGAAGGAGTCCTGGAGCCATGTGAAGCCTCAGAAGAGAGAATTAGACTGTGGGGGGAGGGTGGAAACTCATTGTAAACTTTTCTTTCTTGCCCCATTTGTATTGTAACAAGCCAGTTGAATGTATTAATGGAGAGATGGCATTTAGGAATAGGTGGCAGAACAAGTACTGAACACCTTGGACTTCTATCTGGTGGGAGGGAAAATTTATCCAGAATGTTTGTATTGACTATTTTGTAAAAGTGCACACACACACACCATTCAGAATCATACTTGAGTCTATCCCCTCCACCTACCTTTAGTAAAGTTCCTCAGGCTGATTTTTGCTCTATTGCACCAAAGCTTGGAATCAACTTCCAACAGATAACAAGGGGGAGGGAACTAGGCCCCCTCAGATGATTTGCAATTCATATGCCCTGACTAAGGAAGCAACAGGAAAAATCCCAAACTTCAGCCCTGAATATCTTGCACTGGTGAGCCCAGATTGGGATTCCTAGAGCTCAGTATGTGCAATTTAAAGACAATTTAATAGCCTGGCATACTGGCTAACCTCAATTGGGCATTACAAACCTGGATGCACTGAATTAAGAGCTAAGGCAGGAAACAACCCTTGAAATTGGGCAGCCAGTGGTCATGTACTAAGGAAAACCATGGCTGTGAAGAATTTTGGGAGGTATACAAACCTGACTGAAAGCTAAAGGTGATATCCAACATTTGAAAATCATTGGCACAGAATATTGGACACTATAAATTTCTTTTCCACCTAACAAAATTTTGCCCTGACTTTTAGAACTTTATGGGTGCAAGCTCCCCTTTTGGGAGCCACTAAAGGGATCTTTTTCTGCTGCCTCCATTAATGTCTTATTATTATTATTATTATTATTATTATTATTATTATTATTATTATTATTATTATTATTATTTTGCTTAACAGTTTAAAAGCTTGTCTACCAAGTCTCCCTGACCAGATCAATTTTAATGTTGTGCCAATAAGTGTGTCATAAATTTACACACTTAAGGCACAAAGTGGGGATTGATGGAAGTTAGCCCCCCCAGAGAAGAAATATTAAAAAGGGCAGAAAAATATATTTTTCCTCAAAAGGACTTTTTAAAACCAAACCTGGCCCCAAATCTATCTCTCTGCCCCAAGCAAGACTTTAGCCCTATACAAATGCAGATGTAAAACCATCAGAAAGTTGAAGCCAGAGCAATCAAGAAGACAAAAGAGAAGATCTGCATACCCCACCCAAACTCTAGGAGTCAGCCCCATCACCTGGGAAGCAGGATATGATAATAGAATTAAACCACAGATATCAAGGCCTAGACAAACACTCAGAAACAGCCTCAAGGTTCATGCCACAGGAACAGGAAACTATTCCAAACAAGGCTAGAGGGTATAAAAGCCTACTGCCCCATGTGCTCACTCCTTCTCTCTCCTCTGCACTTTCCTGAAGAACCATCTTTCTGCAATAAACTGTAACCTTCCTCCCAAAGCAGTCGCCATGTTTGCTTATTTATTCCCGGCTTGGATGAACCAGGATGAAGACTTTACTTCTAACAAATACAAAAATGCTTTAATTGCTTACTTGTAGAGACGGGTGAGTCAGAGTCATCCAAGTTTTCATGTTCATTTTCTAATTTCTACGGAACAATATAACAGGATTCTTTTTTTAAAAAAATCTATAACTTCTATAATTTTAACATGTTTGTTTCATAATAATAAAAAGGAATCAGCAGGAAATTATCAAACTTTAGATAAACCTTGAATTACATAGAATTCAATTTGCTATTGTGCAGCATAAGGGTAGACATCTCTCTTGGACTGATAGCACCAATGACCTCTGACATCCATTTTCTTTCTTATGAACTTGCTTTACATCTTAACACTAGCCAGCAATCAGCATAATATTGTCCTTAGTAGGGTTTCTTCCACTATATTAACATATTTCTTGAGCAGCCTTCAAGTATATAGAATCTGTGTAATTTTGCCACTTGGTGCCTTCAAAGCAGTTTAGGAAACACAGGCAATAAAAGCAGGATATGGCTGGGCAATACAGTAACATTTATGACAGTAGGGCTTTCTGATAGGGAGGTAGGACTTCAAGACAAGTTGGGGAAAGGCCCAAAGGATCAGGAACTCTTGATTAAAGGTACACTTTCATGCATACATAGCATTCTTGACATGTTCAGTATGACACAGCTAACAGCTATTTGAATTGCAAAATCTCCATTTTAATTGATAGGGTTTTTTCCATCCTTTTTTGCCCTATTAGTGGATAGTTAATGCTTGGATATCATTGTAGAAAAGTCAGCTTACCTTTTCAAGGAGTTTGAGCTTCAGACGGGTCATGTGATCAGCCACATCAGATTCCATCACTGGGGGAAAATTCCAAGGTAAGTTGTGGGTGGTAAGCTACATTATTTTGAATATGGGTTACCTTTCTCTCTCTGCAGCTTCGTTATGAGTTTCCATGTATTTTTTCTTCAGCAAGAGGTTCAGGCTGTGGTTACAGGGAAAACAGAAACTTCTTATACTGTATCATGTCTTTTGCAATGTACACTCAACATGGTTGCTAAGATATTGTTTCACTAGAACAATAGCAATATTTTCTTTAAGGTTGCTGACTCTTCCAGTGCAAGTTTAATGTGCCCAACCCTGTGCGTTGCTAACACCCTTCTCTGAATAACTCTGTTAAGCCTAGGGAATGAGTTAGCTTCACATCTGTTGGTCATAATTTAAACAATATGTATTTCCAAGGATTAGTATTCACCTGGCTCATACAATAATCAGAGAAAGACAAAAAAACAAATCAAAAAAATGGGTGAGGCTATCCATTGTGGCTCTATAAATTCAAATTTCAACCCCAAATTTTAACTATAGTTAAAAATATTCCCTGAAATCTCATACTACGACCAATATTTGGCAAGATAAAGCACCAGCTTATGTTCATTAAAAACATGATTTAAGAAATCAAAGATAAATAGAATGAAGGTTCTATAGATATGCTGTAGATTAACTTAAAGCAGATTTGATCAATAACAAGTAATAATATATCAAGGTCACTATGACTTAGGTCTCCAAATTTGTTTCAGTGTCTGGCCAATCACAGATAAAATATAAACTAGTTCCAAGCAACAAAATGTACCAATTAATAATTAAAATATTATTAAGGTGACCAACCGTCCTCCTTTAGAGAGGACAGTCCTCCTTTTGTGAGTTCTGTCCTCCCTCGAAAAGTGTCCCCCTACATATCCTCCTTTTTGATATTTGAAGACTAATCTGCAGGGCTTTTTTTTTCTCATAGAACGCTCAGAACTGCGTTCCGGCACCTTTTTTGATGTTTTTTTTTTCAACTTTTGCATGAGCTGTGCTATTCCCACTACTGGCTTTCGAAAGCCAATAGGAATTGCTGCTGAGCGCGCCAAAACACCCGGTCGGCAAACTTTGCACATGTAAGTTGTCTGCAGCGAAGGCGAATTGGCAGGAACTTTGCACCCCTCCCTATTACCCAACTACACCATCTCCTATTTAGTCCCGAAGATACCTGGAGGAGACAGGAGCAGCGACGCCACAGTAACTTTCTCTTGATCTTCGGCCCTGCTAGGGCAATAACGGCTGCGGGCTCAAGAGGCAGGGGAGGCGGGGCTGCTGCTGCAGGCTGCCCCCCGTGCTGTGGAAGCCATGGGGCCTGCTCTACACGGGGCTGCGCAGGATGGGCGGTGGTGCTGGCGGGGCGGCTGCAGGCGGGGTGTGTTGATGGCGGGGTGCCCCCTAGGGCCGGAGCTGGCGCAGCTGGTGCTTTGGGAGCCACAGGGCCCAATGTACACAGTGGGGCAGCAGTGCTGGCAGGGCGGCTGCAGGCAGGGGCGCAGCATGTAAGCATAATTACAATGTAAAATGTTATTGTTACAAATGTTTTTTATTATGTATTTATCATATTATAGTGTATTCTGTATTATTGTTGCAATGAATAAAATGTTTCTTTTATTTATATTTTTTTCTTCAATTTATTTGTGTCCTCCTTTTCATTGTAACAATGTTGGTCACCTTAACATTATTGCTTCAAAAACCATTCTATCTCATATGGCCTAAAGCAGTGGTTCTCAATCTGTGGGTCAGGACCCCATTTGGGGTCGAATGACCATTTCACGGGGGTCGCCAAACAATGCAGTCCGCCATTTTTTCCTCCCTTTTCCTTAGCTGTGCTACTCCCTTTTATTCTATTGGCTTTTGAAAGCCAATAGAATAGACTCTCTTGAATAGAGTCTAATTCTATTGGCTTTCAAAAGCCAATAGGAATTGTCCAGGCTATCTCTGCCCTGCTGAGCCCGCCAAAAGTCCCATTCTGCAAACGGTACTGCAAGTTGTCTGCAGCGAAGGTGAGCTGTCTGGAAGCTTCCACCCCTCCCTGCTGAGCAACTACTAAAAATGTAAGTAAAAGAGGACCAGGGGTGGGAGGTGGGAGGCTGGCGGGCGCAGGAAGGGTTGCTGGCGCGCGTGGGGCCCGGCGGGTGCCTTACCTCCCTTGGGCTGGGCCAGCTGGTGGCCCAGCCAGTGGTCGGCCTGCTCCGTCTCTGCCGCTTGCCAGCTACGCCTCGGCTGGCGCAGGGGGCGGCACCACGCATGTGCGGCGCTCCCGGGCAGGGAAAGTCCTTGACTTAGACCAGTTGGGTAGTCCTCAACTTACGACCGGTTGGGGGTCGCGGCATTAAAAAGGTTGAGAACCACTGGCCTAAAGTAATTGTTTTTAGCCCAGGATAGCTAACTAAAAAATTATTGTAAAGACAGAGTATGTGAAAAATACTTTCCTACATTATTAATTAGAAATCTAGTCAGCACATTCACATCTGAGATTGTATTTATCCATTATATTTTTTATGTATGTGTGTGTGTGTGTGCGCGCGCGCCTTTGAATCAGTATTGACTCCTAGTGACTGGTTGGATAACCCTGCAGTTTTCTTGCTAATATGTTTTCAGCAGTGATTTGCCATTGCTTTCTTCCTAGGGCTATGAGGGAGTGACTAGCCCAAGGTCACTCATTTGGCTTTGTGCCTAGGGTGGTACCAGAGCTCACCAGTCTACCAGTTTCTAGCCTAATTCCTTGGGTGGGCAGAAGTCAAAAAAGACTTGAAGGTACATTTCCCCCACTAACTTAAATACAGTACTATATATACACAACTAGGAAAAATATATAGTACTGTATTCATAATCTTTCACCAGCAACATTTAAAAATGTATCTGGAACGAGTTCACAAATGTTTAATAACATTTCTCAGTCAGAAATGGTGCTATTCCAATTTTTTTTCACGTTTATACAGTTTTCTTAGGTAACGGATCTTCATATACAAGTTATAACATAGTTTTCAGATAGTGGAGTTTCCACAACAGGGCTTGAATTTTATTCAACAGAGCCTGAAAAATGCTTGGGATTAGTTATTACAGTTCTCTGGCTTCAGAGACTTCTTATTCAAACACATTGCAATAACTCTAACAGAGTTGTGTTATGTCCTGAAACTAGTTAATTAACCCTTCCTATTAAATATGTGAAGATATGAAATAATGAGAAGATATATGGGTGAACTGAAGGTTACGTTCATCAATTCAACGAAACAGTGTTTAAAACATATTGGTAGTCTGACTTGTAGAAATCATGATTGCCAGTGAGACTGCGAATTCTAGACTTGTTCTAAGCACAAAACTCAGCCAATAAGGAAACAGCAAACCAGTTCTGACAGTTCTGAACATCTTGCCCAGGAAAACAAGGAATTGTCTGAAGGGTGGCCAGGAGTCAAAAAACAACTTGAAGGTACTTTGCCCCCACTAACTTAAGTACAGTACTACTGATATACTCTGCCAGGGATGATATATAGTACTGTAATTTCTCCTTGGTTTCATGGCAAAAGCCTACTTAAAATTCTGTTTTGACAGATAAAATCAGTTTGATCACCGATTTTGGCAATAAAAAGTACTATCAAAATTTACAATTAGGGCCATTGAAATAGTACTAATAGTATGAACTATTTCAATTAGTACAGAAGCAGAATGCAGCTTCAGTGCTGTAAACAAAAAAAGCTCACTCTTGATATATAGCATATCCAATCTCACATTTGTAAGAAAAATCTATCAAACACTTCAATGCCAAACTAACAAATGTGCAATGAACAGAGTCGGTTCCAGGTCTTTTCAGGGAAGAAATACATAAGCCATAAAGGAAACAGCAGCTGTTCCACTCTATAGTTATCATTTTTTGCTGATTAGTGCTGGAGAAAGGAGAAACGTCCGTTTTTCTTAAGATGAATTTTCTTTGTTTAACAGAGGAAAAGAGCTTGATTCGTAAACATCAAAGAGTTAAAATCTACGCCGCTGCCTTTTCCCCTTCCTGTTACCAAGCGGCTCTTCTACATGGAGGAAATCCGTTTTCGCTTCGCTGTACTGTATTAATGGAGCTCTGAGAGCGAAGGCGGGGAGTAAAATTTAAAACTAAACCAGAGACTGCGCAATATGTTCTCCTGGATCAAGTTACGGTCGTGAGTTTTCTTTGGGGAGCTGCCCGCTTGTGTGATACAGAAAAATAAAGAGTTAGAACTCAATTCTTAGAGAGGAAAATTATTAACATTTAATGTATTGGAGGAAAGTGAAATATGCCCATTGTTAACTAGGAATCCTTGCAGCTGTGATAGCGAAAAAAATGTAGCGCAATGCTATTCTTTCCAACTCCTAGGATGGCTTACAAGGGTAAAAAATAATATAAACAGAAAACTACTATAGAAACGGCCGTGTCAAAGACTTCCGAGTGCACAATCGGCAGAAAAAGGCTCGTATGAATTTAGTATATAACTTTCTTTCAGAGACCGTTCAGACTCCATCTTTTGTATACAGTATTGAGGCCTCTAGACGCGTTGCAGTTTCGAAATTTTGAAAATGGAAATCAAAAGAAAGCTTCTCCTCCCACACACACACACCCCGAGGACCGTAAAAGAGCTTCGGAGTTCCTAAGTTCTACGTGTGTCAGATACACATACATCTTCTCCCCATTCGGCGGTTACGTTCCGGAAGCTCCGCCGCGAGCTCAGTTTGGAGCGCCGCGCTTTGCTGCTGACTCCTTACTGGTTCCCGGCGCTCCAATACTTGGCGCCGAGGCTGCTTGGCTTGGGCTTCGCTGGGCACCTGGGTGGGAGGGGCGCCGGATGACGTCAAAGGAGCCCATTGGCTGAAAGTTGAAGGCTTCCGCTGGTTGCGCGACCGTTGCTGGCCGATAGTTGTAAGGTCGTTCGTTGGGCATGGAAGGGGGAGATCCTGCAGGAGTTCGAGATGCTGCTGGCAGCCCCTGCGGTCCTTCCGAGGTGCGTTGCTTTCCGCTGCTCTGTGGCCGGGTGTCGCAGATGCTTATTTTCCGAGCTGCCTGGGGGAGCGGGGAAAGGCTCCATCCTGAGGGTCCGAGGTCTGTGGTGTGCCGGATGAAGAAGGGTCCTTCTGGCCGCCCCAGGTGTGAGAAGCCTGTCTGCACGGCGCATGGTTCTTCCCCCTTTAGGGGGTTGGCCGAAACCCTGGCTCAATGTAGTAGCAATTCCCGCATTCTTAGGAGGTTCTGTTTCTTCAGCTGGCCTTTCATTCACAAAGGACGATTTCCCCACCTCCCTTTAGGGGCAGCTGGCAGCTCTTCATCGCTTAAATGTGTGTGGGCGCACTACATCAGGGTTCTGATCCAAACAAGAGATTTGCTTTATTCCTGTTTGTCACAGACAGATTAACTCCAAAGACGGATTAATAATCAAATTATTTATTCTTCAGGAATCTCTAAGCCAGTGGTGGTGAACTTATGGTATGGGTGCCAGAGGTGGCACTCAGAGCCCTCTCTGTGGGCACGCATGCCATCGTCCCAGTCCTAGGCCTTCAGCTGGGTTTTATAAACCCTTTTTGCTTTAGGCCTCTGCCACCGTGTGCAAAAAAAAAGGTTCAATCAGTCAATTTCAACTTCTTGTGAGAAAAAAAAATCTTGCATAGTTGGAATTGATTGATTTAACTTTTTAATCCCACCCAGCCTGCCATTACCACTGCAGCCACGCCCACCCAATGGCCACACTCACCCAACGGACTACACCCACCCGGCACCTGACCATACGTAAATGGGTTTTGGATTGCAGTTTGGGCACTTGGTCTCTAAAAGGTTTGCCATCACTGCTCTAAGCAATAACTCACAGTTAAGAAGAGTTCTTCTGAGGCACCTATCATAATATG